AAACACTTAAATTTGCTGAAATAAAGAAAGTAGCTAAAGAGATAGAAAACAGCTGAAATTAGAAAAAAATCTGCTAAAAATGTTTAAATTAACAGAAGAATAGCTGAAAAAGCAGAAAAAAGCAGAAATTATTAGAAAATAAATTATAACAAAAAAAGTTTCAACTTGTTGGAAAAACAGCTAAAGCAGCCAAAAATAGCTAAAAAGTAGCTGAAAAAGCTGTAAGTAGCATARAAATGCAGAAAAATCGGCCGCGGACAGATCTACCCCCAGGTCAGCACCAAGTCYGAGCAGTCCCTAATGACCAACAACAAGGTTTAGGACCTCTTCAGGGTCCAGCTGTGAGGACCACTTCCTGTTACTGACCTGTTTGAGGAACTCAGAGTCCTGACCCTCCCCTGGAGACGTGGACCGGCTGGGACCGGCTGACCTGGTGTGACACTGCTCCCTGCTGCCGTAACGCTCGCAGGAGTAGTACCGCTGCTTCTCTCCTGCAGAGGAGTGGTGCCTCCTCTCCTGGGGACGGCTGCGTTCCCGCTCCCTCACTCGCTCTCCGGACAAGTCTTCGTCTGKGGGGTCCGTAAAGGAACCTGCAAGGTGGTAACCAGGTTGTCATTTATACTGTTGTGAATAATTCTAGTTTTCAGATATCTCTTCACCAGACGACCTGTAATAAAGACTGTGACAAAGACTCTGCTGCTTAAAGAAGAAAGAATTTAAATCTCCAATTTAACCTCTGAAACAGGTGAAAATGAATTGTTTTTAATAAAAAGTTCAAATATTCACCGACGGTACTGGAAGGCGGCACCGACAACATTTTCTCTAAAGGCTTCTTGTCTTTGTCCCGCCGTCGATGGCAGCGGTGGTGGTGGTGATGGTGGTGGGCTCTGTCCTGGACCTGGACCTGTTCCGGGTCTGCGGGAGGTTGRGTCCGATGCACGCGCTCCAGGTCGTAGCTCCTCAGCCCGACTTCCTCCTGCTGGTGGCGCTGTGGTGTCAGCGAGGACGCTGAACGCCTCATGGGGCTGAGGTCGACGATCGGCTGATAGCGAGGAGAAAGAAGCCAGGTGAGAAAGATAAAACGGACTCCTCGGAGGAGGCGGCTTCACCCGAATCTTTGTACTGGATCAATAAAGTTACTGCCCTTTTTTTTTTTTTTTTTTTTTAAAACGTAGAAAGACGAAGAAAAATCAACACATTTATTCAATCAAGAAACAGAGAAGCATTGGTGGGGTTGACACCGACCTTCAGTTTTAATTCTGAATAAATTGTGCAGCTATTTGTTCGCTTTCCACTCTCCTGATACATAAAACTCCAAGTATTACTTTGTAGTGTAAGTACAAACTGGCGTAATCCTTTCAGATTTAGAGTTCTAACCTCTTTGCTTTTGGACAGTGGTGGGCACAGCTAACCAGTTAGCTTCACTAACTGCTAATCCGCTAAACAAGGATATTAGCTCCACTAACATGAAACAGATAAAACATTAGTCAAAGCTAATGCTAAACAGCTAAAGAGATAAAACATTAGTTAAAGCTAACGCTAACTACTAACTACATAAAACATTAGTCAAAGCTAACGCTAACTGCTAACTACATAAAACATTAGTCAAAGCTAACGCTAACTGCTAACTACATAAAACATTAGTCAAAGCTAACGCTAACTGCTAACTACATAAAACATTAGTCAAAGCTAACGCTAACCGCTAAGACAACTGTCAGTCTTCTTCTAATAGAAGGCAGGTGGGACTGACACAATCACACACACCTGTTAGTTAATGTTGGTTTAATTTGAAGGTGGGCAGGAACATCTGTGGCAAACTGGCCAATTCAAACCCCTTTCAGAATAAAAGCATTTCTATTCAGAATAAAAGTATTTCTTTGATCGAGTTTGTATTTTTCATTTATACTCTTTGAAGTTAGTCAAACAAATACTTTCTCTACCATATTTTACACATAATCAATTTTTGTATTCATCATTTAAATATTCTAACCTAATTCACCTAATTTGAAGTTTAGCTGCTAAAGACACACACACGGTGCCAGACACATCCAGCACTGTTAGTAAGAGCACATTTTTATTATTGATTTGATTTGATTTATTGATTCAACAGGAAAAGATTACTAAAATCAAGCCTGACTCAGCATAAT